CAGAGCGAAATGCCACATGACACCGTTAGAGAATGGTTGTTGTTAAAGTTTTGAAGGTCAGCATCTTTTCAATTTCTACTTGCGACACTTGTGGCTACCATTCCACATCTCCTAAAGTCCATTGGGACCGAGAGCACGTCGTTGTAGTTCAACTGTCGATTATTCCTTTATAATATGATGAAGTGCTACCTGCTTGAAACTCTTTTCCCTTGTTAATAACTTTGTGCGAAGAATTGAAATATAGGTTTTTTTTAAATTATCCCACATTCTATGTATGGAACTATGGAACAATGGCAAGAGGTACTCCGCCGTACATATTTGGAGTAGTTGGTTCAGTCGAACCATTTAGCCCGAACAAACCAAACTCCCAGTCCTTCCGAGACCGTTGAATTGGTACCAGACTTGTCTGATAAGATAAAAACACTGGCTTAGGTGTAAGTCATAATTCATCACTTAGACCAAGCATGTATTCTGTCACCTCTGCTGTGCTAGCAATGGGATCGAATGGACAGTGCATCCCTAGGGAATTGATCAACGCCGAACGTTTTATCCTTTTTTCTTAATCATACTTGATACTTCAACAACCTGTCCTCACTAGTTGTGCGGGCCTCGGCATAATCACCATTTTTTGGAGATTTGCTGGTTAAGCCATTGTGGTTTCCTGGAGTCCCGAGGACAGCCTGGCCAAAGTCTGCCACAGGTCGTCACCACGACAGGCAGTCGAAGCCCTTGCGGAACAGAGAGAGATTTGCCACCATGCGACTTTGATACCAGCACGGTGGTGGATCCTGGTATTGATTTACTCTTAGCTAGCCTTCTTGATGGAAACGCCAAACTCCTTCTCAGCTTGGGAGACCCTGCCGGTGGGACGAATCCCTCCGCTGTACATTGCAGTCCGACACCCAGGAACACCTCCCAGCCACGATTAAGCGGTAAACCGTTGGGTGGTTACTTAATCATATAAGTATAAACTGTACAATTATAGTTTAGGTATTTTTCATGATTTTATTCACCATGATTATTGTTTATTTTCATAATTTTCCTAGAACTAAGAAAGGCTTGGATAACTTTTACATATTTCTCATTGAATTTTCCATCTCCACTCTTTATTTTGCTGTTATTTCCTTCGTTCGCATTTCTGATGACATTTCATTTAATGTTTATTCTTGATTCTTCCTTTTTATAAATAGCAAAGAATTGATAGACGGTAGTAATTGTTGCATTCCAACGATTTACCGCGTCATCGTGGCTAGGAAGTGTTCCTGGGTGTCGGGCTGCGACGAGGGATTCATCTCGCCAGCAGGGCCGCCCATGGTGAGAAGGAGTCTGGCGTTTCCATCAGGAAGCTTTGCTAAAAGTAAACCAACACCGGGATCCGCGACCATCCTAGTACTAAACTAGTCACATGGTGGTAAATCTCCCTCTTATTCACATGGGCGTCAACTGCTTGTGGTGGTGACGATCTGCGGCAGACTTTGGCTAGGCTGATCTCAGGACCCCAGAGAACCATACTGGCTAAACCAGCAAAACTCCGAAATTGAAATTATGTTGGAGTTTCGCACAAACAGTGAAGAGGCGCCATCCAAGTATCCAAGTAAGTAAGTCACGACGTAAGAATCATGATAGAAATAAAAAGCATAATAGTCAGCTATGGTAAACTTATTGAAGTCATAAAAATTGGCTGTGGAATGTTCAAACAGTATGAATAAAGTAGATAGCGTCGATATTTCTGAGGTCTTAGTACTTTCTTTGTCGTAAATTTGTTCGTTCTTAACCTTGACGAGCGGCCTCGTTAAAAAGTATCTCTTAAAAATAGGTAAAGTAGTTCAATTTTTCAAATTTTGAACCAGTCTTTTCTTTATAGAGTTTATTTCTGACATACACAAGTCGACATCACGCCTTGTGCAGGCCCCAGTATTTTCTTCATTTGGTTGTTTTTTCTTACACATCGTTAACGATGGTCTTCTAATTCTCGTGTAGGTTCGATAGCTACTTGAGGATTTCTGGTCTTCTTTATGAACACCGCTAAATTCTGATCAATCTGATCAATCCTGTAATACTAAGATAGCCAGGCTACGGCATTCCCTGGTCTTTACCTCAGTGGTTTTTTTGCAACTAGCTGAAATGCAACATAATTGGCTTGAGGTTATGCCAGTTGTTCTAGTATGGAAAGGTTGTTGATCATTAACAGGTGCAATCGGCGGTCGGCTAGCCATCGTTACAACTTCATTGAGTTTACAACAAATCTTAAACCGCCTTACGTGACCAGGAACAGTGCCACGTTTTTTCAGCATCACATGTTAGTCTCCAGATAACTCTCTACTCATTAAGGGATTTCTTAGTAATGACAAGCATAGTGTTGCGATGACGGAGCTACTCGACGCGTCGTTGTCATTTTGCCTAAGTTCCGGTTCAGATTTACTGTTTTCAGAAAATATGGAAAGGATTAGCACAGTTAGGAAGGTCTCTTTGAAACTTGAGGCACCATATATTGATATTCTCAATGAATAACAACTTCGCATAATACCTTACCGTAAAAATTGTAGGAGGCAGAAAATAAAAAGTAAACGTTGTGATTTCAACTAAAGCCTCTGCTTAACTGGGTGTTCAACGCCGATGTGAGCTCCCTAGATCAATTCCGTTGACGGGTGATTGCTGATGGCACTGATAGATAAAACTAGCTGAGAGACAGACGAAATGAAGGACCAGTATGGTGTGGTGCTGAATGCGTTAGCCCTCGGGAAGGGTAATAGCGTGTTCGCTTCCTACCACAGAGCTCTCCGGAGTTTTGCAAATATCTCGGCATCTTGTGGTTGTATTTCGCACAATATACCGCAGTAGAAATTGTCTTAGGCAGAAAATAAAAAGTAAACATTATGGCAACTTTATCAACCTATGTGGTCGCCATCTAATCACTTTGTTCTTAACGTATCTGTTCTTTTTTCATCTGGTAACGTCTAGCTTCTTGCTATTGGATATAATTTGCCATATGTTTACTTACTTGTCGTGCTCTATCGTAAGGGAGACAAAAACGAGTCCCGTGGTCAAAGAAGGCCTACAGCCCATGTTTGCCAGTTGACTTCTATATTAAGAAGAATGGTTTTCGATGTTAATCAATGATTTCTTCGAACATTTCTAACGTTGACCAATATGGAATATGAGCCTTAAACATCGCTCTCGCAAGAAAAACTGTTTATATCTCCGCTTCTTGTTTTCTTCCCTTTCAAAGTTCTTGTTTTCAGGATGAGGATATTGTTGATTCCAGTCTTTTATGCTTTTACTGCAGCTTGTGTTTACAAAAATGAGAAATATAAAAATGGCGATACCTGGGTGAGTGGTGCAATTGTGAACACTAGAATCTCTTCGAACACTTCACCACTGTCTTAACTCTTTTATTTACTGCCCTTTTCTTCTTAATGGCAGGTTATGCTGCGATATATAACTCGTATGAAATGCTGAGATATTTGCAAAACTCGGGACCACAGGTGTATGCAGTGGAGAACGAACACGCCCGGATGGTGTAGTGGTGAAGTGCGCTGCTCCCCGGTAAGGACAACAGCGCGTGTTCGTTCTCCACTGCATACACCTTTGGTCCGGAGTTTTGCAAATATCTCAGCATTTCATACGAGTTATACTTCACCACTGTATTCTTAAGTGCCTTATCGGTTAAAAGTTGAGCATTAAAGTAAGTAAAGTTGCTCGACTTGTGGTGTGGTTACGGTAACGACGCCACTTTCAGTCTGATTCCCTCGCCTATGTGGCCCTTTGCAAAAAACTTTAAGTCGTAACTTAGACTTTAAGAGCCTCAGAATCGGACATAGTTCTTTGTAGTGTTCTGAATCTGTGAACTAGTAGAACTAACAAGGACACGTACGGTGCAGTTCTTAAAATATGAGCTTTTGATGCACATAGTTGTTGGCTTAATTCCATATTCCGTTAACTATCTAACTAGCTCCTTATCTTCCATAGTCGCCCATTTACAACCCTACTTGTATGCGGGAATAAAGACACCGACTTGGACCTCGTATAGGCAAATATGCGTACAGTCACCTCTACGACTTTAATGGTGGAGTCGAATGCATTACGAGACTCGCACACATTGATGACCGCGAAAAGATGCCTGATGCTAAGAAGGCGATTTTGCCGAAACGTCAGCTAGGGTTGTGCTGCTTGTGTATTATTGTATGGAAGTAAACGTATGCTGTTTAACAACCTCACGATTGCTGAGGAAGAAAACGAAGAGTTCACAATCCAATGCTGAGGTTAATAGAAAGTTGATCCAGTGTCCTAATGCTTTTATTTTTTTATACAAACTGTTAAAGGTGCTCAAACGACAATTGATAGAGGTGGTATTAAGCACGGTATCATAGCAAAGTTTAGTTAGGATTTAGTTGAACTAGTGTCTAGCCCCACTTCTCCTGCATCATTCCTGATGAATAGCAAAGCAACGTGAAACTACGTTGTTCATGGATTGATTCGATTATACTGGTTCAATTCCCAATTTACCTCGTTTGACCATGAGAGATTCTCAATTGATATACATATCCGAAGGACACAAGGAACATCCTATTCTGAAGGAACGTTCTTCCACTTCTGTTTCGTTTTTCCAGATTGACGTGAGGTGTGTTCTTTTCACCTACTCGTTCGATTACAGGCTTTGGGCCGAATCGGCGTGCAGAACACTATCCAACACATAAACGAACCAGCTCATATATGCATGGATTAGTACTATATGGAATCCAGTGAGGCAAAAACAAGAAGTTCATCTCTTGAATCCAATTTTTTCTCAGGACAAATATATCTTGGTTTCTACTGCCGTTGAACCTTTTGCCCTTCATTTTAAACTCTGCACAGGTTGTCTTAACCTTGATGACCTTAAATTTCTCAGACATCAGAGATCCATTGCGGCGTACGGGGAAATCATTGAGATAAAATACCAGCAAATCTAAGGATTTGCGTCTGAGATACTCTCGTTCTGATTGTTTTAGTTAATTTTATAGGTAGTGCGCTCAACATTCGTTATGAAATGTACAATCCTTAAGAGCGGATCGTGGAGTGCGAAGGTAGTCGGTTGTCGCACAAGTGGCGGCGTGTTTGTCGAGCCAGGACATTCGATCATTGAAGGTGATACGGTAGGGTAGATATTATTACATTCTAATTGATCTCTTCATCCTTTCTTTGAGGAAGCATCTATAATGAAAATTATGGGACCACGGACTAGAAACGGAAAAAGAATCGGCATATCAAGAGGTGTTGCACTAAGATAAGGAAAGAGAACAATCTCCTTCACTTTTCCATTCTCTTTCTTTCTTTCGATCGTTTCCTTCATATGCCCTATTGTCTTTCTCTTACCTTCAAGCCTGAGCATATAACGCTTACAACGATGCCTAATTTGTTGTGACCACTACATTCACAGCACTCAACACTGTCTACAGAGTGCAAGCGATCATCAAAGACGCAGTGCTCACTTGTAATCAACGATTTCATAATAGTGTTTTAGAAGATGTTTTTACTTCATATTTTGGAAAGCATGGATGTTTTATTGAATGTGTGGATAAGAGAACATCATTCAGATGTATTCAGAACGTCATCATAAAAGTGTTGGCGTAGAAGTCCTACTGCTGCTTATGGCATAAAAAAGATAAAGCTCTCGGCGTTAATCAGTCCCTGAGGGATGCGCCATGCATTCGACTTCATTAAGCATCGTTTGGAGATGATTGAATGCATATCTGGCCTTTACAATGGCTTGCGGTAGCCTACCGATATCGAGCCAGTGCTGCTTTCCTCCCAGACAAATCTGGTACAAATTTGCCGACCCCGGAGGGACGGAAGGCTTGGTGGGCCATGGGCGCGGAGATCGATTCCATGTGTGTATTGTGGGCGCCTCCGGCCACTGCGCCACACACGCCTTCTGCTTATGAGAGTATGGATAAATCGCTCTTGTATTGTACTGTCCTACTATGAAAATCGAAAAAAAGAGAAAAAGATTTAAAAGAAAAGAAGTTCATAATGGGGTCGTGTCGTTATACAATCGACTCTGGTCGACAGTCCATTCTTAATTGCATTATCATGTGTATGCATTTACGCCAATGGTTTAGAACTGTATAGCACTTTTAAGCATAACTTCAAACTCCCATTAGTTCGGAGTCAGAAAATTGGTACCAGACCTGATATCCGGGGAGATAAGAGCATTGACTTGACAGATCACCACTGGCGGTCGCTTATGGGATATATATACATTGAATCACCTTCAGTGATACTTGATGACGTCGAAATCATGGCGTATGGCACAGCGACTAATCAACGTCATACGCTTTGTCCTTTTCTTTTTATCACAAGCATGAGAGTTTCCACGTCCAAGTTTTACCAAATTATTGAAGCCGTTCTAGGGTGCGTCTAGATTAGCGAATGTTTTCTTGATAAGAAACTCGTCCATTGCCTTGCATAGAGTAGTAATGTTAATCTAAACTCGATTTAATTTTGATTTTTGAAGTACGATTTTTTCATAAAACTCTTAAAGTTGCCACAATTTTAGTGTACGGTCAGACTTATGTTGTTTAGTTTTAGAAAATGGGCTAAATATGATCCATCTGGGCGCTTAATACGTGAGTCATATATGGCTCACTTCGTCAGTACCACGTTAAATGAAAATTCCTCATTTGTCTGCTAAATATTGCGAGTTTTTTTAGAAGTATGACTGTTTGGACATGGGACATGACCATGTTGAGATCAAAAGGACTTATTACAATAGCGGCAAGCAGGAGAGTTGCGAAGGACATGTTATTGGTTGGGTTTTCACTCTGTATAGCAACCATTAGCTCCTATGATTGTTCTGGTTCATCCAGTTGCCCTGAACTGAAGGAATTTTTCCTTTACTCTCGATTTGTATTTAATGAGATGAGAAGAGAAATAAGATAAATCTAATGCCAATTTCTACTTAACTACGGCATATATAATTAGTATTTTGGTTTATCGATAGGTTTACACGATGCTACTAGTACAAGTCCTAACTGTGGCTAACGTTTCGCTGATACCGTTCTCTGCAGAACCGCGATGATTCGAAACAAGTGTCCACAGTACTTGGTTGATACGTTTCACTTTACTGACTCCGACTCAAAGCGCCTACAAGGATCTCTTCTTTGAAACAGTTGCTATGGACACTGGACTCAGGTCATCCCGGCTCTGATGGAGACAACGCCCTTGAAACGTGAGCCGTGATAAAGAATTGTAATAAGTTGATGTAAACGTATCAATAAACTAAGCCATTGATGAATTTGACAGTGACGCTACGTGCTGTAATAGGGAAGCAAAAGGGAATTGTATTTTCAGGGGAATCATGGGTGTCACAGTACAATTTCCGCAAGATATGCACCGAGAACGGTGCACGGATCACTGAGTGTTTGACCGACGCAGGATTCGCGGTACCACTCAATCGCCACCTCGTTTTCTCAGGGATCATCTACAAGTTGGTTGTTTATAACTTGGCTTTTCACTGCTGTGAGCCATATACTAGAAGCACTAGATATTGAGATGGCTATCTTAGACTTTTTCGAGACCTCTTGAGAAGTTTTTTCTCTAATAGATTAGGACCACTGGTTACTTATCTATCTCGAAAAAGCCCGCCATACGCGCACGCACTATGCTTAGTTGAGGAGCAAAAAATGAATGGGGACTTATAAGGCTTGCGTCTTCGTGATCCTCACTGTCCTATGACAATGTGGAAGTGGAGAAACAGATAGCCCAGTGATAATGACTGCGATCATCACGGGTACGGTGCTAGCTCGATCTCGCCTCGGGCCCAGCAAGATCTTCATCCCTGTGGAGTCGGGAAATTGGTACCGGACTTGTCCAAGAAAAAATCACTTTCTTCAATCTAATTGAGGACGCTCCAGCCCGGCTATTCCTGGTCTCCAGGGAAAGCCGACCCGACCAACATTCCACGGCATTCAAGATGAAACAAAAATCTTCAAGCAGGAGCCGAAGCGAAAAATAACAGTTGGAAAACCTACATGGATGATGGATGAGAGGAAATGAATCAAGTGTGAGAAATGCTGCGATCCGCACAGTGGTTGTGAAAACGGGTCGTATAAAATAAAAAAATTATAAGAACGTAATGCTACTGTATGGTGATTTTTCGCTATTACATCTTTATTACTGAACTTTACGCGACTGTGAATAATGCGTGCGTCGCAGTGGTTCGGGGTGCCGTTGCTTGTTGGCTCAGCCACGCTGCTTAACCAATCGTTCCGAGGTCGCCATAGTGCTGCCATACTTGTATGGGAGAATAAAAACACTGATCTGATAGGTTCGTAGACCACTGCAGGTGATTGTATTGACTAAATATGATCTCAGTCAATTCTAGGATTTACTATGGAGTTGTATGCAAAGCGCTTCCTTAAAGGAGTCTAAAGGAGCAGGCTGAACGCGTTATCCTTTGAACTTTTACATATTTGGACGCCCCCTTTACCGCCTCAACGTGGCTGAAAGGTGTTCCTGGGTGTCGGGCTGAGGTGTACAACAAAGGGATTCATCCCTTGGCAGTGTCTTCCAAGCTGAGGAGTCCGGCGTTTCCACCAGGAAGCCTAGCTAAGAGTAAACCAATACCAAGGTCACCACCGTCCTGGTATCAAAGTCGCATTGTGGTGACTGCCTGTGTTGATGAAGACCTGGGGCAGACTTTGGCCAGGCTGACCTCCTGATTTCAAGAGACCACAATTACTTAATCAGAAAATCTTTGAAAAATAGAGGATATGCTGGGGCCCGCACAATCATTGAGGGCGGGCCATTCAGGTATCTAGTATCAAGTAAGTACATATTTAGAGTAAAGTTGCGCACTGCTGCTAACGTCCTCTGCGAGTTATATGTGACAAGGAGAGAACCCTATCGAGCTACCATTTTCGTTGGATATCCTCGAGATTCTGACGTTTTCCTAAATTTAACAAGGAATTAAAATGAGTATTAGAGGTTTTCACCTTTTCTTTCATGAAAGCGTGTCCTCACTGAATCATCTCGAATTCGCAAAAATCGTTTTGTAAAGCTTTTACCAAAGATTTAGTTTGGTAATGAATGTGAATAATAAAGGATAAGAAATGAGTTTCGAAAGTTTTTTTTGAATTCAGATGCACCCTCTACCATAATGGTACCGTATCCATCGACAGAGAAAGTATCCCATTAGCAACGAACTCTTCAAGTCGTGTAAGCTCAAGATTGTTCAATTATCTTTGTTTAATTTTCAGTAGCGCTTATACTGCAAGCTCTTTGGCTTCTATAAATTCTTTTCCGAAACGTTATAGATCTCTTCAGTTTCTATTTAGCATTATCCAGTATTGGTATTTAAGAGGTTGTGTCGTTGTTTCTATCCTTTCTTCTATGTGGAGATAGCTTATAGTACAATTACAGCTGAAACCCGTTGACGTGCTTGGTCCTATGTGGAAAAGCTTCGGGCATTTGGGAAAGGTAAGTGTACGATGTTTTTCTCACAGAAAATTAATTGAGCTAAAGTAAAATAATCCCTCCTAACGGTTTGCCGCCTCATCGTGGCCAGGAGGTGTTCCTGGGTGTCCGGCTGCTATGTACAGCATGGAAATCCATTTCCCTGGCAAAGTCTCCTAAGCTGAGAATAAGTCCGGTGTTTCTATCAGGAAGCCTAGCAAAGGGTAAACCAATACCAGGTTCCACCACTCTCGTGGTATCAATGTCGCATGGTGGTGACTGCCTGTGGTGGTGAAGACCTGGGGTAGACTTTAACCTGGCTGACCTCAAGATTCCAAGAACGACAACGGCTTAATCGGCAAATCTCCGAAAAATGGAGATTATACTGGAGCCCGCACAAACAGTGAGGATGGGCCTTTCAAACATCAAGTAAGTAAAGTAGCAGAACGTCGGAACAGCAGGAAGAGCTACGGGATAGGAAAGACTTTTACGTGCTGTCTGCCATCCATCTTCAGGAGGTATGCGAACATTAGTCGCTTCAAGTTCGCTCAAAGAACTATGAATTTTCAAGGCGACTGCTGCGAAAAGCAAGGTTAGAAAGAATGACGAGTGGACATTTGCCCTAATCCTCTTGCTCTAGATAATCCAAAAGTTATTGGATTTTCTTGCTTAAGTTTAATGCTTCCTTTCCGTTAGTTCAGCTTGAAGTCTTTCAGTAGTTTTTCAGTTAGTACAATCGCAGGAAACTTTTGACAATGAACCGATGTTAGATGCTGATACATCACTTCGCTCTCAACATACAGCTCATAATGAGAAGGCTGTCACATGTGTTAGCGATGGTATTGTTCATCACCCGGAAGAGACGTAAGCAACAAAAATAACTACACTTTCAATGTCTTTACTTTTTATTTACTGACTACTCCTTTTTAATAGCAAGGTATTATGTGAAACATAACCAAGACAAGGTAGTAAATACCCTGTTCGATCCCCACCGCAGACACCAGCGGTTGGGAGTTTTCAAAATATCTCAACAACGGCACGACTATACTTTCATTTCTATGGAGCGTTATGTAGCGCATTGGTTAGAGGTGCTTGACAAAACATACATAGTCAGTGGTCCAATCTTTACTCCTAGACCTGGACTCCATTTCTCTCTGGGGTGAAGGAATTGATGCCAGATTTGTCTCATAGGATAGGAACACTGATCTGTCACATCTGTGGGCTATGGCAAGTTATTGCATTGGCAAGGTATGCATTCAACCATAACTAACGATACTTATTGAAGTCAAATGCGTGGCGCATCCCTGAGGAATTGATCAACGCCGAAAGCTTTATCCTTTATTCTCTAATTTTGGTTCCATAGTGTCGATATAGTGTGGCTTTGTAGTGATTCAATCCTAGCTGATAAAGAGAACGTTGACAACTATATCTTGATTTATCTAAATGCGTATTGACAAGAGAACTCCGTCCACCATAGGCATGAAAGTTTACTGCCTTATGGTGAATATGGAATGTGTATGACCGCAATATACAGCAAAAGTTTACGTTCTCTAAATAAAAACTATTTAATTCGGTTGGAATTTAGCAATTCCATCCAGAAACCCAGCTATCATAAAAGTAAACCAGTTCCAAAAATCCATTGATTTTGTCTGTCTTTTTGGTGCCAACATGGTGACAGCTTGTGCTTGTTTGCATGTCCTCCTAAAGCTCAATGAAGTCTTGTGCAGCCAACAGCTGCTATACATCAATTAGAAATTGTGCCGTAGTCGTCGTGACTTATCGTGATTCTTGAAGATTGGGTTTTTTTTAATATTTACTTTTGAGCCTTGCGATGTCACTGTATTTCGAGCTCTTCGCGGCCGTTGTAAGCATTCTGCATTCTAATTCGTTGTAGAACATCCGAGACTTCGATCCGGGAGAGCAAAATCACTGGATTCATAAAGGAAACAATAACAAGAATAGTTATGGTACAGTTATAGGTATAGCACAGTATAGTTATAAGTTACAAGCATGACAAACATCGAAATCGCTTATTTACCTACTACCTGCCTGAGCGTAGGACGTGCGTTCAACGCCTCTAGCAATAATCGTATATTTGGTTAACCACCGTCGTCTGAAAAAATTGTAAACAGTAGAACTATCTTTGCTTTGTGGAACAAGCACAATGATGCTGAGATATTTGTAAAACTCCGGACAGCAGGTGTCTGCGGTGGGGAGCGAACGCACTATTGTCCTTTCCGGGGAGTAACGCCTTCACCACCACACCATGCGGGTCCTTCGTTTCGCCCGTCTTTCAGCTAGTTCTGTAGATCACTGCCATCAGCAATCACCCGTCAACGGGTTTGATCTGGGGAGCCCAAATCAGAATTGAACCTAGTTAAGCTGAAGCTGCAGTTGAAGTTCACAATATTGACTTTTTATTTACTGCCCTTTGCAAGTTTTCACCATAGGGTATTATTTGTGAAACAACCACAATGATGCTGAGATATAGAACTGCAGAATTCCGGACTGTAAATCTTTATCGTTGCTTTTTCGCACGATCTTTTTTCACATCTATTGTGCGGATCGTAGCACTTCTCGCATTTGACTGCCTACCTCGCATTCATCATCAACGGACTTCAAGCTTTTGCTTATGGGATTGGCTGCTGGTTTTTTCCATGAATGTCGTTAAATGCTGTTCAAGTCAATTCTCACTGGAGTCCTGAACTAGCCAGCTAGAGCGTTTCCAGTTTGATTACAAGGAATGAACCATTTCGAGCCAATCATGGTACTAATTTCACGAGCCCGGAGGAAGGAGAGGCTTCATGATCGCGGTCGCGGTCGAGCCTCACACTGCTCCTGGTGAATGGTATCACTAACACTGCCCCATCCGCCTCTAGTGAAACTATGTCGCTATCTTAATTAAAATTCAGATTTAGAAGGATCAAAGAAAAAAGAATAAGATGAAGGAAAAGAAAGAAAATGAAGTAGAATGTGAAAAACGTGGTATTTCCTGTATAGGACGTGAGTACAAAATAAGCAATACTAACAACTTTGC